GAGTTTTGATGACCATAAGCTTGCCGTAATCTTAGGAAGGGCGTCATCATGTGACAGACACCCGCAGCAGTGCTCGAAAGAATAGTACCAACGGCAAGTTCACGGGCCAGCGGATCGTGGCGTTGCGTAACGGATCAAGAAGGACGATCCCAACGCAGCGTACCTCTACACCGTGGGCGCGGCCTTCTACTACTCGTTGCAACGGCATCCAGCTGGAGTGCGGCGTTCCGTGCAGCGACATCGTCTTTGCTTAAAGACGACTGCCACGCGTTTGGAGAAGAAGCAGACACATTGTCTGGTTTGCATTGAACCTGTAGACTGTCCAGGCAGTATGCCATCCATGACCGATCGATAGCTCCCATGGCAGCCGAAACCTTCAAGCAGCGGTCCTTGTGAAGGGAGCTCAGCTCTGCTCTACGGTACCAGGACGCTGCAGGAATCTCGTGGTTGGGCACACAAGCCCATATACGCAGGCATGCATTAAGGGGTAGTATCGTATTCCATTAGCTTGATCGTACTATGGCTTGAAGCGTCTGCATACTTTGCTTGAAATGTTGGAGCTGCTTGAAGTACCGCCGAACGCCATTGGCCGCTCGACGCGCGCGCTCGCGGGGATCCATAGCCACAACGTCTTCAATGGCTTCGCAAATGGCGCGGACCGGCACTTCAAAGACGATGTTTTGGCCCATCGTGGCCTTGTCGGGCCACGGCGTGATGCCGTGGATAAGGACACCCGAGTCGTCGTCCACAAACTCGTCCATCGGAGGCGCATCGGTTGTCACAACGAGGGCGCCGGCCGCTCGTGCTTGGTTGATGTAGTGACCGAATCTATCGTTCACACGCCATGAGCACCTTGTAGCCGATGGTACACACACCCTTCCATCGCGCTCGGGCATACAATGACAGTGGCGTCGTGCAGAATCTCTGCAAACGCCATCGACGAGACATACTGACCAAAGTGAAAGTCAACATTCGGCGGTGGGCTGCCGCGCCAAAGGTCGTTGTACGTGCCGTTGGACCAGTCGTCGCTCGAGTACTGATGCAGCACCGGGAACTCGGGGTGGTCTTTCCAGCAGTTGAGCAAACGCCCTGCATTCTTGAACGGGCTCTTGCCGTTGGCGTGGACGACGCTGAGCTGACCAAAATCCTTGAGCCCCACGTGCTTGGTCGCGTTGCGCATCAAGACCGTCGCGTCGCTTGTCGTGTGCTGGGTGTAGAGCACCTTGGTGCCGCGCGGGTTGTTGTTGTCGTCTTGGTTGTACCTAAACACAACGCCAATCGTACTTGTTGAGGACTGGACATGAAGATTCGCGTACCAGGCCCAGATGCGGTTGAACGCGTCGCGCGACTTGGCCAAAACAATGTCGACGCGGTGGTAGTGCGTCGGCGTTAACTCGCCCATTTCAACGTTGGGCATGAGCACAATCTTCTTGGTCGACGGAAACGACGGCATCTCATGGACGTCTTCCCAATAGTGGTTCATGAAGAGGATCGCCGAGCGCGGGCAGAGCTCAAAGTACGTGATTGCAGTCCCGCTCTCGTCGAGAAACGTGGCTTCGAGCACCCATTTGGGAATGGCGCGCGACTGCAAGTGTAGCGTGTACACCATGGCGTCTTCGCAATACCCGTGGTCGCGGACCCCCGTGTTGAGGTACACGTCGACATCCGGGCACTTGCGCAGCTCGGCCAATATCGCGCTGTGCCGACTGTCGCGCCCAAGCAAGTCGCGCGTGCTGCGCGCGTGCCACGGAATGAGCACATCGTCTTCGTTGCGGCAAAATACGTTCAAATCGACCAAGTGCAAGAGCTCGTCGTCGTGGGCTGCGTGGAGCGCGTCAATGTCGGCGGCGGCGAGGGCGACGTAGGGTGCGAGCCCCGACCGGACGTAGTTCGTGCGGACGCTCTGTGCGGTCAATAAAACGCCCCTCGCCTCGAGCAGCAAGTGCAGAAGCGTGATGACTGCCAGCGCCAAGAAGGCCCACTTGGTCCACGCGTCGCTCGCCACCATATCGACCCGTTGGGCAGCGTTTTTTAAAATGTCAATCTGTTGTTGTGCCGCATCCAAGCAGCGACGTAGGACAATGAATCATGTACATCCAACACGTCTTGTTGGAACCCATGGATTATACTTGTACGTACCCACTGATTATACCATGTCGTACCCATTGATTAGACCTGACCGAGTATCTACAAGGGCTTCAAGAAATACATATGTGTGGAAACCTAGTTACCTTTATTCATTAAAAATGGAGTTGGCGCCGAACGAGCGTACCAAGCCGTTGCTAGTCGTGCACCACGTCCGAGTCGCCTTGCATCGGATTCGTGTGGAGGGAATCGTTGGGGCAGGTCGTTGGCCAACGTGGCAGTTGTCGCGGTCCATCACTCGACATATGTTTCTATGGAGAAACGAACCAAAACGCGCTTTCAAGTCGGGAATGCTCTGTCGGGCAAGCTTTCTAGAGTTTACCCGGCGTCGCTCGATCCTTCGCAATTCACCCAAGATGCGTTTGTCGCCAAATAAGTTATACAAACAGTTAGTCGCACACTATGAGTTTGGTTACGGCCGATGCAACAGAACGGGCGTGCTGTCGTCGTCATTTGTATGTCCGAGACGGTCTTGCTCGTCGACGTAGGTCTCGTCAACCTGCTCGGCGATGATGCGCGTCACAACCGCGTTCGAGAGAATGTTCATGTACGTCGCGAACCGATCGAGGAGGACGTCCATGGCGACGATCCACACAAAGTTGGCCGGCGGCACATCGCTCACGACAGCATTCCAGACCGCCATG